TTCGGGTTCCATAAAACGCTGGGAAATTCTTGGGTAGCTGCAGAATTGGCGGCTCCTCCAGAAGGGCTCAGCTCCATGAGTAAGTAAGTAAGTAAGTAAGTAAGTAAGTAAGCACAGTAACTGTATTATACCACCACTTCCATATATCCAAGTGACCACTCTATCATAAATCTTTATTGTTGGCTGCAGTTTTTTTACCGGGATTAAAATAACTTTGTCGACGACTGCCGACCTATACGGTCCATATTGTTGCGTGCACATTCTCTAGTTACCGACTTCAATGAACACTGTCACAGTCAGCTCCCCTACATACTGCTTGAATGCCTTCTCCTGTGTATCAAGATATAATCTGTGTGTCCTTCCATCAGGAGGAGTCCAAGCGAATTTAGGAATAATACATCATATGGGTACATTATGCGCCTGAGACTACGGTTTTAGGATGTGTCAAATATTACTATAAATCCACTATCAATATTAACTTCGTGTAAACCAGTGGTTCCCAAACTTTTCCGGGCCACCATAAACTCATTCCCAGTGCCCCAGCCCTACCCTATATAAAGCATTGTTCAGAATATCAATTTGTACAACTCACTAAGGAAAACAATAACTTTAATATGACAGTACACTTAGTAAATTCTTAATGCGACGAATGGGATTTATGAATTGATACCAGTTTCCCAGTTTCTAGTCTAAAGTCACTTCAATCGTAAAGCTGCGAAAAACGCGCTCGAAGGGGCCCACCTCCAGCGTCCCCCTTAGGTAATCCCAAGCGGCCTCCGTAGTCTAGAGGTAACGTTCCCACCTCATGACTCGTAGTACGCGGGTTCAAATACCCGGCGGAGGTCGTCGAATTTTTAAGGGCGGAAAAATTCAGGGAACAAGCACTCCGGGAGGGACTTTAAGCTGTGTGTCCCGTGTCGTAACTTTACGGCACGTAAATGAACCTCATGTCCCCAAAGGGGATCACCGAGCCAAATTCCAGGACGTTTCCCGCCCAACAATAGTCTCTAAGGCCTCTGATAGATGGGGGAAGCATTATAGACACCACTAAACAAGTGGCCGAACTCGCTTGCTCGGCGGGACTGATGGTACGCACCATTTATCGGTAGGGTATAGAGACGGGTAGAATATCATAGAGGGAAGCACAATAGATCAAACTGGTCGCGGTGCATGGGGAAACCCACCCTCTCTAAATAACTAACTAGGTAATCCCACCGCCCCACACGGGGCGGTACAGCTCACTATGGAAAAGACTAGTGTAAATACTAGTTCGGAATTTAAATCTCGAAACAAAGTGTTCACAAGGTACTTTGGGAACCGATCGAATATATGCTCTGCTCCCTGTAATACATATTATTCTTTGTTATTATCGCCTTTATCACCAGTTGGCAAAACTTCCTGAACAAAATTTATAAACTGAAGGGAAATATGTACTTGGATAACTCATCTATTTTCATTTATTAGTCTGACTAGCGTTGAATTTCGATCGATTCACTTAAACGAGGGAAGAATTAATACTTTACTGCCGAAAGTATTGTCTTCATTTAACGATTTCACTGCGAACTCGAATACAGCCATGGCCTGGGTATTTGTGCGTGCCGCGCCAACCCTGAAAGCGGCTGTAATATACGCCTTCTGTAGCTTGACTTACAGCGCCACATTCAAAGAGAATTTGAAAGAATAAACTTTTTCAAAGTAACTGTAAGATTTCAACAAAAGTGTAGATATCAGTGTCTACTGGGGCGACTAACCATCATTTTATACACATGAGAGGGAAAGGGTTAAATTACTTCAAGAAGCAATTGTCGCGCACACGAAAAGCAGATACCTGAAGGGGAAAGCCTCGAACTCATGTGCTCATTTTATTCTTAATATATGGAACGACGCTTTCTCGACTACATCAATAAAGCGTAACTTAATTTCTCCTTGTTTCTTCCACTCATTTTACACGGATGACTATTCACATGCATTAAGGACACAACATTCATACTTATTTACAGACTTTAAGACGCAGTTCCTGAACCATTTATTTCACGGAATGAAAGGATTCAAACTGCCATCAAACGCTACGAATTTCGCTCTCGCCTTAAGCAGAGTAGCTGCTGTAACAGTGTGTCCATACCCCCATCCTATTTCTGTTAAATGTCGACTGCCGACTTTTGATAACCAACAGTCGGTATAGCGATTGGCTACGGGCTGGACGACCGAGGGGTCGGAGTTCGAATCCCGGTATGGTCAAGAATTTCCAGACCGGCTCTGGGGTTCACCCAACCTCCTATCCAATGGGTATAGCGGGTTCTTTCCCCAGGGTAAAGCAGCAGGGGCGTGAAACTGACCACTCACCTCCAGCTAGTGCAGAGGTCAAGAATACATTAACCTATACATCTGCTCCCCCATACATCTTCATGGTAAGATGCTTAATTAGTTAAGCACAGGGAAAACTGTTTTTTTTTCCTTGGCACTAGAGCCCCAACTTCTCCGTTCACTTCGGTTTCTCTAGATCTTACACATTCGGTAGGACTCCTTGGGCAGGTGATCAGATCGTCTCAAGCCCTCTACCTGTACACAAACACAGAAAAACGCACACACACACAAACTAAACATCCATGCCCTGAGTGGGATTCGAACCCACGATCCCGGTTTCCAAGCGAGCGAAGAGAGTACATGCCTTAGACCGTTCGGCTACAGTGACCGGCCAGGGAAAACTTTACTTCTACCTTTAACAACTGAATTTCGGTCACATCGGTGTGCAGTAGAGTGAAATTACATGCCGCACAGTGCAGTTAGGCGTGGTAACTCGTGTATCAATGGCCGCACCATAGCTCGGGCAAGTTAGTCGCCGGCTTCCCATCGCGGCGGCCCGGCTTCGAGCTCGGTTCTCGTCATATCATGTGGGGCTGGTACGACAGGCCAGTAGTGGCCGCAGCACCAAGTGGACTCAGTTTCGCCCCACTAAGAATAATAATAATAAACACGTGCATGAACAAAGTTCCGTTTGTGCTTTCTAAGTAATTTATTGAGAAGTCGAGGCTCCCACATTTTCTTCACAATCGGCTCACAGATGGCGGTGAGATTGCCAGCCTTACGCTCCGGCCGCCATTTTCCCCCAGAAATATTCCTAATACTCACTCCTGTCAGAGGCTGAGTCGACCCCAGGACCATAGTGCTTCTGGAAGGATTGCGGCAATTGAAAAATCCAACGAACTAATCGGAAATTGAACCCACAATCTTCCAGCTTGTGGCAATGCCCCTCAAGCAACTACGCTACAACGGGGCCCCTCGTGCAAGGAGTCCAAACAAATTTCTACTTCCGGAAAACGGAAGGTCTTAGGCCACAATGATTTGTCATGCTACAAAAGGTAAGTTGAAAAATCGCGTTTGGCTAATTGATTCGTGATTTATTTAAGGCCATTGTTTCAGTTTATTTGGTTGAGCAATATCGAACTGTGACTGTATGTGACTTAGAAACAACATATTATCTGGGATGGGGGGGTGGAAACAAAATACACGAAAAGCCTAGCGGCAGGGATTTCAGTTCCAATACGATTATTGTGTCATAATTTTTCATTCATTAAAATACTGAAAACATGAAAATATTCTCCCTTCCAAACACTGGCAACAACATTTTATAACTGAATACAAATTCTGAAGTTGTAAGAGAAAATCGAGTTGGTGAATTCCCATATATATATACCGATGTGCATACGTTCCCGCCATTTAATGTGTTTCTGCATCTATTTCTTTATTGCTAGTGGGGTGGGACTAAGTAAGTCCCTTGTACTGCGGCCACTTCTGGCCTATTGTACCAGCCCCAGATGATAGGTGAGGGTGATTGTGGAGCAATTGGTGGAATGAAGATTGGCAGGGGAAACCGAAGTCCTCGGAGAAACCCTCCCCCAGCGCCACTTTGTTCACCACAAATCCCACTTGACCAGACTCGGGAACGAACCCGAGCCGCCGTGGTGCGAAGTCAGCGTCTAACCGTTTGAGCTACGGCGCGGCCCTTTCTGATGCTTTCTAACCGAAGTAACCCTTTGACTTCTAGAACTGGGAATGTCCCTGTGAGTCATTACTCGAAGAAACAATGGTCACTTCGGCAAACACTGATTATTCTTTTAAAAAAATTCACTACTCAACCTCGGATTAAGGCAGATGAAACTTTTTTGGCGAAGCTGAAGAAACTGCTTGGCAAGCATTTAAGGCAGTGAGCACAAATTTCCTTCGAAACTTCAGGGCAGAATATGAAGTCACTTGACGAACAGCTTCTCAGAGTCTACAAATTCATGGGATGCAAAATTCCAAGAAATTTCCATTTTTTTAATGGACATTTATGGGAACCGGTCACATCTAGAAATATGGAGATGAAACACCAGAACGGACGGAGGTGCCTACTGGTGGACACTGGAATTATACACGTATATTATCGGTAGATATATTTTCGGCGACAATATGCAATTTCAACTTGCTGCTGCTATTACGTCTTTAATTTAGATCAGTTACATCACTTCCGATTCACTAAAATTTGGCTGGTGATATAAACATTTTGAGGCCATTTTCGAACCCAAGAGTTAAAAAACCTATGAGGTCCATCCACTTCTGATCACGTGACAAAGGTACTGTTTGTCGTCCGGTTGTTAGTAATTGAAATGCAATGCACTAGGCAACTAGGCAAAGTTTGACGTTTCAGATCCATGGACTTAAAAATGTAAAGATATATAATCAGGATAGTAACAGCATTCATAACCCAATTCTATTTCTTTGTGCCCTTGCAAAGACACAAATCTAAAAAGTTTCTTCTGCTTCAGTACACACCAGTAGCTATGACAGATTCGTACGTTCACGATCACATTTCTAAAATGAAAGTAAGGCAATCTTCTGGAACAGGAGTATTGATTAGAAATAGAAATACTTAATGTTAAACAACCAAATTCAAGTTTCTAATCTTAAACACTTAATGAAACATTCAGCATTAATATTTCACATAACTGTTGCCTATTTACCTGGAAACGGTATAACCTGTAGTAGATCGCAGCAACTACAACTTAGCACCTAACGTACAGCCCTGAATCCAAGACGCATCTGTTTGATATTAGGTTAATGCAACATATGTAACTCCATGCTATCGATTAGCAACTAGCCGTAGTGATGTCACGGATTATTATACTGCCATCTATCCACAACTCTTTTGAAACTACTACTAGAGGTTGTTCCGGAGGTAACAGCCATAATCTAGAGCTCAGTCGGTAGAAATGTTAACAGCTATCCAATATTCACATCTGCTCACAATCTTCCCAAGTTTTCACGACATAACAATGATTTTGCAATCTAGACCCCTTATACTGCAGAGAAATGTACACTGTTGTTAAGTATTAACTCACATGAACTGATATTAACCAGTATCACCAGTATCCATCAGCAGAAACTTTTGCGAAAGTTTGTTTAGGAAAGCACAAGCATCTTATCCCCTTACTGAAATGTATTACACCATAGGCAGAAAAGATTAATACTCACAGGCATTTAGGACAGCTGAGGATGGGTAAATTTCAATGAAAAATGTGGTTCTGCTACAAATATGCGTATTCAAGCTCATAACTAACTCTCCTTGCAAGCTACATAAAACCTTGTTAAGATAATGAGGTTTTCATGGACAGTGACCATGAAGAAAGCAGTCTTCTGAGATGTGGCGCCGTGTAGATATTGTGTTAAGCGGCGTTTCGGAGGAACGTATCGCTGCCATCTTCAGGGTGGAAGACAAGAAGAAATCGACAAGCAAGCCAGCATGAGCATGTGCCACTCATAATACAAATGAATGGCACCACGTGTTCACAAAGGAGTAACTGTTACAGTACTTTTGTATGTCTAATTACGTTCTTTCCTTTTTCTCATTTATTCCGTCTCACAGATACCTCTGCCTCTATTTTGCTTTTTGATTGTGGTTCTATTAAATATTATTTATTCTATTATATATAGAATTCTTATTATTGTGACATGTCCTACATCATATGTATGTTGATTCACAGGATTGATAAACAGTACATTATAATGTTCTGGCATAATGACTTCAAAATCTTAATTATTTATTCTCATTAACCATTTCTTTTACAAAACAATGCTGTAATTAACTGAATACAGTGCATTAGTCCTTACATGTACCTACCTGGGCACTGAAAGCTGCTGCTGCAATGTGGCTTTTATAGATGGGAGTAGTGGTATTAATATTGGACTTTGGGCTATACTTAAGGAGAGAGAGAGAGCCAACACTTTGTCTTCAGAATTCCATTTACTGCCCTTAGGATTCTGTTTACAGTTCCTAGTCACTGTTGCCAATAACCTGGCAGCCTCTACAAAGGATCTCCACTACTGGATCACTCTCCACATCAGAGAGTGCTTCCAGCTTGTTCCTTGTTATGTCTTCTTGATTTTACAAAGCACTTGCCTTGTTTCCAACATGTTCATACATACAACTCCTTTTACCTCAGTGTCACTTGTGATATCAAAATTTAATTACGTTTCTCTTGTAAAGAACAGACTTGCCCTAGACTTTGATGAGGGACCTGAACAAATTGATGTGTCCAAGTTCCCTATAACAAGGATTTAAATCTACAAGACTATGCAAAATTGTTGGCTGCTACTCATGACAGATTTCAGACATTTATGGGGAAGTGGAAGAATGGATAGAAATAGGTGTTTTAGTGAAGTCCACTAACATCTTGCTATAGGATCCTGTGGAAGGATGGATATGAAGGTCACCTTCATAGGTTATAACTCAAGGCAATATATCCAAAGAAGGGCTGCATAATGAACAGACAGAACTTTGTGAGAATGAATATGAAGCCGATTTTGTGCCATACAAAACTGCCACTCTGTATTCTTCCAGCTGTTTCATAATTATTTCCAAGTAATGTTTGCTGTACAATCACTCTTGCTGAATTCTTCCTTCTTCTCCTGTCTTTACCACAGCAACATCATAAATTAGAACACACCATATGACAACATAAACATTAGTAATGATGAAATATGATCAACATTTTAGCATTTACTAGGACCGAAGGAGGCACAGGGAAGCATAGTTGGTTGAGGCACCATGTTACAAGATGAAAAGTCAGGTGTTCAAGTCCAAATTAGGTGAATTTTTTTTTTCAATTACACTATGGCCCTGGGGTCAACTCAGTATTAGATACAGCATTTTTAAACACAATGCTTAAAACTGTTTAAGCGCCCTAGCAGGAACAGGCATTTAAATAAACTCCAGCCAGCTCAAGCTTACCACCATTTCAAAAGCCTAGAGTTTAAAGGTTAAGTGTCTACCCAAAACCATAATTCTAGCACTGTTAGGCCCCTTTTAAAGTAAGTGACCAGACCGGAAATTGATGTTGCTACACTTCTTGCGCATATTTCGCTTTATTTCCATATCACACACAGAAAGTATGCTAAGCTGGTTATCAACACAACACTGACAATAATGTCCACTACAACACCACCATCTGGATATATTCACTGCGTGGAGAAAGCTAAATGGTATTACATGTCATCCAGCAGGTAGACTATGGGTTACATTACTAAGAATCATGTTCCATGAAATGTACTATTAAGTGTTAATGATGTAAGGGTAGATTTAGGGATTTCATAAATGAGCAGAATTCCTACTGGTCACTTTTTTTATCTTTGTGTATGTCCCTTTGTTCACGTCACAATGGGTAGGGAGCAAATGCTTTCAGTGAAAACTACTAAAAAAAGATTCAATGTCATGAATGCTGGGGTTTGTATGATCTATATTCACACTAAAATTGGGCTGAGATGAGACCAATACTTCCAAGTCTGTCAAGAAGTAGACAAGGGAAAGGACATTTCTTCTTCACATTACATTTTTATTGTCGCATGTTTGCTAGGCAACATGGCAAGAAACTGTGTGGGTTCTCGGATTTGAACGAATATTTATTAGATGGTTACTTTTACACTCACAATTATTCTCAACTTACGTCAGACATTTCCCTCTTCACTATTACAACTATTTGCACTGCTGATCTTGGTGAAATGTCATCTGCTCAGAGCTCAACTGTCCTTGGTCCCATCAGATACGAAACTCTCCTGTTCTAGTAGGATAAGAACTCTGCTGGTCTCTTGCTGAATACCCACTGTTATATATTGCACTCAGACTGAATGAGGAATACCTTGTTGATGGGTTAATTACACCCCCTGCTTCAAACAATTTGTTTGTAATGGTGGAAACCCTAATGCTAAGACTTTCATTTTCGAGGTAACGATTTCCTCGGCTTTGCTAGCCATTGTATAGCTATGGATGTGTTCTTATTCCAAATATTCTGGGCCTAGGCAGCATGTCACATTATTATAAAGAAGCTACTGCCAAACACTGTTAACAGTTTTAAAAACTACACTGAAAGCAATTATAAAATGGAGTTACATCCTGCTATTCTTCTTGTAATTTTACTTTTAATAATAATGCCACCTACTAGCCTTTCAGTTTACTGTTGCTTATGGAATAAATTTTAAATATTTACAATGTAGCTCTTTTCTTTTTCAGGTATCATTCCTTTGAGTGCACTGTTTCAAACATTTTGACAAGACATAATGCTATTCCTCAAATTTGCAACACATCTTTAATGCAGAAATTTTCCTGTACCACATTTTCTTTCAGAGCACTATATTTTCAGGGTAAGTAATCCTCTAGTTGACAAAACTGTAGAAGGAATCCTAGACAGTGACTGTTTAACAGTCACATTTTGAAGTCACATATTCTGCTATAACAGGCATGTAAGCCACTCCCATTAATCCAATTTTATACTTTTAACTTACTGTCTCACTGTATCACTTCAGGAGCGCATCCAAGAAATGACAAAATCATGATAAATTATCAAGACTTCACACAATTCAACTGAAAAAAATTACTGTCATGTTACACTAAAAACTGATCTTACCATGCATATTTCAGTAACTTTCATGTAATACTTATGCTGCTTCCCTTTGTCAAGGGCTAGAGATCAACTATGGAATGGGGAATGTACTTGAACAGGTGGAAGATTTACTTCAAAACTGCCTGTATGGTGACAACAGTTCCACTCACTTTTGGGCTCTCTTATGAACATGTTGAACACTGGATTCGAGGATTTTACAATGTTGACCATGCAGAGTATTACTTGCTTGCCACTTGTTTGGCTGATTCTTTCACTTGCAAGACTGAGGCAGAACATTCTTCTGAACCATTGGTGAACCGCTATGTAACCACATAGCATCCACATGTGGGTTTCACAGAAGGTATGTCATCTGAGTGACTATCAACTATCAAAGACTATACTCCAGGCATGTCCAACTTCAAACAGGTTGCGATCGACCTTTTAGTGTCAAAACTGCAAGTGATCTACCACCCCCTCCAATTGTCATACCTCGCTTTAAGCAAAACTAACACAACACGTTTGTTGCAAAAGCAACATACATTGAAAGTACAGACTACTTTAACACATATTTTCCTTTAAAAATCTGAATATAATCATATTATATTACAAATGAATTTACATGCTTTTCACGTATAAATTTCCTTATAGGCCTATGAGATTGACCAAAAATCGTCCCACAATTGACATGCCTGCTATACTTCATGGTTGGTTAATGAGTTCCCACTTTGAAAAGATGAATTTTAGCTTGCTTCCTGTGCTTGATCTTCCATATACTCACCTGCTTTCAATATTTCACTACAAACAGTGCACTGAACAAAACACCAAATCCTTTTTATAGTACAGGCAGAAATTTGCATGGTTGTGTCTAGACTTATGGGAATGCCTTCACTGTCTCACAACTGCTAAATATAATCAAATTCCTCCATGTAGGCAGGCCTTTCTTGTCTGGAATTACCATCTGTCAATGATCTACTGTAAGCGTATATTGTGGGATAACTCCTACTCAAAATCTGTGAATATACTTCTAAACTGATTTACTCAAACTATTATTATTATTATTGGAGAGGGTGGGTTTCCCCATGCACCGTGACTAGTAAGTCTATTGTACGTCCCCCTTTGATATTCTACCAGTTGCCATACCCTGCAACTCCACTTTCCTTAAAACTAAATTTAACATAATGAAAGCAGTATTTAAATCATCCCCCTACTAATGGTTATAATTGCTGAAACAAAATGGGCTTCCTCCAGAGCAGGTAAACCACTGATACTTAATATAATACAAGTAAGACGTATGTCAATTTTCCTTCAGATCATAGCACAAAGCAGTGCATGTACCACGTCCTGCCAGCCACTACTCCTCTTCTTGAAATAGCCCTCAGCAAGAGCCCATGAAAACTGATGTGAACAGTAGTGCTACACCTGCATAAGGAGCCACATTAATGGCTTCTTTAACTACTTAAAAATGTAGTACCTACAGCGAACTAGACTAGAGAACACTTTAAAACAGGACCTTATTTCTCGGCAGTATGAGGCAACAAAATTTCAAATAATTGCAAGCCCAGCAAGAAATTTGTGAATTCATATAAAAATTCCCACAACAAAACTGGATTTTATCTGAAATGATGCTGAACTTAAACTTTCATTCTCAATACATTACTTTGTTGAGGATCTGCTGATACAAGAAGTCAACTGCATCTTACTCATATCAGTGGTATTTACACAAAGTTAAATATGTAAACTGTTTAGGTAATTTTCCACACTCCCAAAATGTATAGCATTTAACTGTTGTGACTTCTCTTGTTGACAGAAACTCCACAAAAACAGCTGAAAATTTCAAACACCAAACTGATAATTGTTCATTTAGAGTGTATTTCATGTGTTAAGGGTTTATTCTATGCCTACAACAAAGGCATAATGCACACAACCTCACAGTGAAATATGACTTGTAATAATAAAAAACAAATTCTTAGACATTTAAAATGTCAGCTGTTACACCAAGAGTTCATCATTCCCAGAACCCAAATCATGTCAGTCAACTTATGAAAATTGACAGCTGCAATGCTGCGAATTGTCCTGGATACTGAAAAATAACCAGCTGCCCCTTCTAGGTATATAACAAAATACTTGGAACAGCTGTGAAAAGAGGGAAGAAATTATTATTTGGAAAGTCAGAATGAAATGGAACACCTATCATAACTTTCACTGTATGTTTGTCCAAGACTACGCTGAACAGCAGCTGCATCATGTTGCAACCTCCCAATCATGAGTGTAAAACAAAAATGTCAATACTTGAAAAACATGCCTACTGGATTTGAGATTCTCACAGAAGTGACTAGCTCCTTCTAGGATGTAATGCTATGTAATCCAGTAGTAAAGTAAAAAAGTAAACCTATCCCTGTACCCGTTAAGGGTCCCACATTACCTTGACAATCGGCTCAGAGATGGCGGTAAGGTTGTCAGCCTTACGCGCCGGCCGCACTTCACTCCCCGGGAAAATCATTTTAATTAATTCCTGGTACTCATTCCTGTTAAGAGTAGAAATTCACAAATATTACAGTGGAGCATACTGCTTCCATCTTCAGCATTTAAAAGTAAGCTAACCTTACTACTTGCTTTGATCCTGAAGGTGAAGACTGTTTCTCTAAAGTTCTGATAATCTTCTACTGGACTGCACAGTGTTACTTTTCGAAAGACAGTCCTCTTCATATTCAATGGAAGTGTATTACACATATAACCTGACTTAGCTATAAGACTGTCCCATTTTATAAGTTCTCAGGATATTAAAGAGATTTTATAATAATGAATATAGCTGCTGTAGACCTGGCATTATATGGTATCAAAGAGGCAGAACAGTGGAGTCCACTCCAAAACAAAACATTTAAATGTACTACATTTCAGGAGCCTTGTTATAAATAACCTCCAATAACAGGTATTTTGAGTTGCATGATAAAATAATGATGCGATATAAACTTAAAACAGAAAGTATAGAAGAAGATAAGGAAATATCACTAAATATTTAAAGATAAGTTTATCTTTGTTTATATGAAACAATAGAGAAGGTACAGAAGTTTCAAAACTTACCTACCACACAAAACGTACAAGATGATGACAATATTAACACATATCACTTCCAAATTTTAAAAATATTCTTGCACAATTTTCCAACATGCTTCCTAAATGCATTGCAGCACAGTATGCCAGGGTATGCATGGAGATACGTCATGAATATTACACATCATTATGCTGGCTGCTTCAGAACACAAATTTTGTCCACCACTTTGTTGAAACACTGAATAGTATCACAATACATAGTGTGAAACAGGTCCAAATTTTAGACAATCAAATGAATTTATCTTTTATATGAAGCAGTCAACACAGTAATGACAAAGGTTACATTCAAGATAATTGATGCACTACCATTTCTCTTGTTTATGCACATTCAAACTTTCTTCCCATTTCCAACAGCTTACAAGGTACCAAACACCTATGGCTGACATTAATTTTACAAGTTCTGAATGGTGTCACGCTACCAAGGAGCAAGTGTAAGAAATGACCACAGCAAATGTGCAACCTAAAGCAGTGACTGATTCTTTGTTTGTGCTTAATTCAACATGGAAGTCACAGAAGGCAACATACTTATCTTTGGTGTCACATATCCAGAACACAATCTATACTGAATATACAATTTACTGTACATTTTCAACCATTTGGCATATAACTCACCTACAATAAAATTCAATTATTTTACATAGAAATTTTGTGGAAGATTACAGTAATGTTCTCATTATATAAAATTTTCCTTCAAGTTATATTATCAAAAGCTTAATCTTTTTTGTTTTGGGGAGTACTTCCTGTATAATTTCACCCTGCACAATGCACTGTATTAAAAAAATGCCCACAAAAATGCACATTTACACTTATTAGCTAAATATGTTTCCTTAAAGGTTTGTGTATAAGCTGAAGAAACCTGTTTGAGGAGAGCATATATCAAAATTCTAACACAACAGATAGGTATAATTTTGTTGCTAATCCACCACAAGGTTGATGCCTCTGTTTTGCAGAATAAATTAATTAGCTTTTGTTATATTTTAGCGTCCTGTTGCACTGATTTAAGTCCATGATTTATTTAATCCGTCTTGCAGTGCATACACTCATTTATTTCCTTCTCTCCCTCGCACTACATGTTTCGGCATAATAATGCCATCTTCAGGTGCTTACTTATCCACGTCAAACCAGTTCATTGCATGCCATGTTCACACATTAAAATAACAAAATATGTATCTATCATATACATTGTCAAACGTTAAAAATATTAAAATTGTTCAGGATACCACATCGCTACGTCGCCCCTCACTACGTCAGTCACGCCCATTCTCCTTTGTTGGAGCACTCCTTCACTATCTTGTGTGTTGTGCTTTTGTTGTGTCGTGCTCCTGCGACTGCGTGTGTTATACTGTTGGGCTTCCTGGGTATGTGTGTGTGTTCTGTCTTCGTTTTGAGTGAGTTATGATGTTCTTCATCATGAGTTCATCATAACTCACTCAAAACGAAGACAGAACACACACACATACCCAGGAAGCCCAACAGTATAACACACGCAGTCGCAGGAGCACGACACAACAAAACCACAGTAAGTATTATTAAAAAACTATAATACCACAAGTATTAAATAAAATACGGAACGCGATATTAATGAATAAAAAATTCACGTTACAGACACACAAGATAGTGAAGGAGTGCTCCAACAAAGGAGAATGGGCGTGACTGACGTAGTGAGGGGCGACGTAGCGATGTGGTATCCTGAACAATTTTAATATTTTTAACGTTTGACAATGTATATGATAGATACATATTTTAGTTATTTTAATGTGTGAACATGGCATGCAATGAACTGGTTTGACGTGGATAAGTAAGCACCTGAAGATGGCATTATTATGCCGAAACATGTAGTGCGAGGGAGAGAAGGAAATAAATGAGTGTATGCACTGCAAGACGGATTAAATAAATCATGGACTTAATTAGCTTTAATTGCACACAGATTTCTTTCATTCATTCCTAAAAATGTGGAGGTTCCAGCCCCACATAACATGTGAACACGTTTAATTTCAAATATTTCATAGTCAGATTAAAAGATAAAACTTGAATGCACATTCCCTCCTTGATCTCAAACCTGTCAAATATAGATTAAAAAGGTACAGGTTAATTTATATAAATGATGATATTCACAATGGCCTCGCATCTTCATAATATGGTACCCATTTCATTACAGCATGTATTAACATGATTTAAGGTACATTATGCCCACATTCATATCCTGACAAAGAGCAGGTTTGCCAGCTAAAATATTCCATGTTACATGTGCATACAAGTCCCTGATAAAGCTGCCCCCTAAAAATATGAACTAAAACTATGGCGTGGCTCTGCAGTTCAGCTAGAGTTCACAAACTGTCCAACAAGATTTCTGCTGACTTACTAATATCTGAATCCAATATATCATATTACTAAAGACTAGCATATTGAGTTTATTATTTTATATATATATATATACATATATAAAACTCTATAGCACTTACCAGAGTAAGAGTTCACAGAAACGAAACAGAAGCTAACATAAGATTTCATTCCACTGTTTTTTTCTGACTTGCTATAAAACAACAGGAGAATAATTTATAGCAGTCCAATGGAAGGTGGGACTGAAGAAAGGGTCAATGCATACAGATAAGAGCATGAAAAATACTGGTATATGGGGCTGACCCACTGGCGGGCCAACAAAATATGCTATTTCTCTAACGCAAACATTTCCTTATGTCATTTTAAAAGACCTCACCAAGTAAATATTAATGCATTTATTTCAAAGCACTGGCTATTAAATTATTTAGGTATGGTGTAGTATATCATGTGCTTCCGTTATATGGCAATGAAATGGGCAGAAACAGTATAGGAATCAGGCAACTGCCCCCTGGATTTTAGGATAAATAGAACAACAACAAATGTTAGTATTGAAAATTATTCTTTTAACATGGATACTCTTGGTTGCTCAGTAAAGACAGTATTAAACACTTAAGCTAAAGTTTGTAAGCAAATTTTCTGGTTCCCTCCTTCGAAAAAATTCCTGGGGGAGCCCATGGGTTAGTGTAACTAAACTGTTTAATAAACTCAATGTGTGGTTTGCAGAGATTTTTGCAAATAAAGTTGCTACTTTAGCAACAATTATATCAATTCTATCATGAGCCAAGTTTAGTAACTGTTGGATCTGAGAACTCAAGTGTGATCTGGCTTCTTTCACTTGCTGTTTATGTTTAACTCTCAACAGTTTTTCAGTTATTGGAACTATTCAGAAATCTGGGTGAGAAGTCTGACATATTAACTAGAGGTGATGGGGAGGTCACTTTTCACTGGCACTGCCATACACCAAAGATATGAACAGTGAAAGAGGTCTGTGTTTTTAAGACATATTTCACAAATCCACAATGGATATACTGAATGGTGGTGGTGCGGGGAAGAGAAACCCTAGCCCAACCAAAAATACAACTGCCTGGTCTTTTTGTATTATGCATTATGTTTTACACATCGCAAATGAATAGGAATTATTTAAACTCCAAGATAGGAGAAGCCATACACCTTGGTGCAATCTGGTAACTGCCAAATGTAAACTCTTTATCTGATACAATGACAAATGAAGATCTCTAGTCACGGTGAGGTATGAATATTTTTTTTTTCATATAAGAACTAACCACAACAAGTTTCAGTACAATCTTCAATCAAGTAGAGGGCTTGTGTAGCACAGCAAAGAACATGGTTGATTTATGCTCTTCTCCCATGAACACTTCAATGTTTTCAATACAATGAATATAACAACACGCTTCTTCTAACATCTGTTAATATGTATGCAGTGGAAAAGGTGACGCGCACAATTTCAAGCTGTGAAATAACTCACAAAATGAGCTTATTTTCTCTACAAATAATATGAAGTCAAAGCCTTCACGTGTAAAAAGAAGTGTATTCTCTTGAATGGTGTAATTTAAAGATCCATGTATTTTTATATTACCACAAATGAACTGGTGATGAAAATATTTACATATTTTGGGGGATATATATTACAAGAACAAGCATTCCCCATCACAGAATGCTATGAAATCCTAAGACTTCTGAATATCCGTTAGAACTCCTTGAAGTCAATAGTTTAAAATTCACCGCATTCATCAAGGTGTGTATTTTTTTTTAATTCAGCTGGAGATGTAGTAGCTATGTATATTTTAATCGCTACATTACATAACAACCACAAATTACATGTTATTTACTGAAGTAGCAAAATGTGTTGGATCATTTTCCACATACTGCACCCACCCACCCACACACACATATGCACATCATTTGTGAAATACAAGTAAATGGAAATACATGTTTAAAATTCAGAATCTTTGTACTGAGAACAGAATATAGATTAAGGGTTTATTAAAATATGTTATTCACATAAGAATGAGAAAGCAGATCCAGTATAATAAGAAAATAAGATTTAAGTAATACGAATTAAATATAAAATGCTTGCATACAAGTTCTGTGAAAGCAGTTAATATATCATGGAGTTGAAAAAAACAATAACGAATGTCTGCAGTCATAGAAATAAGACATTATAAATTATTTAACAAAATTTGACATGAAAGATGGAAATAAACATTTAAGCATAATTAATAATCTGTGCAGCCTACACTGAGATTTAAATGCTTTAATATTGGTTTAAACAGAAACAGAAGGATAATGAAAGATAAAATAAAAAGTTGAAAGTCTGAGAAGAAATACCTTGTCAGTCTTGTAACGAATGCATTAAAACAAGAGAAAATTCTGCAAGTAGTATACCATTTATAAATAACAGCCATTGCTTGAAAACACATGCATGAAGTTCTGCTACCCCACTATGTTAAAAAATCTTAACTGCAACATACTGAACTGTGTATACTGGTTTTGATAGAAGCCAATTTCTGGAGGCAGAAGATAAAGAGGGAAAAATGTAGAGATCGTTAACAAAAAAAAATGTGTATGAACAATATGAAAACTTTTAAAAAAACTTGGAAGAGGAATAAGAATCCATTCTTTGCTTGGTGTATGGCAAGGCCTTCAACCTGTCATCTCTTTCAACAGTGAATGTGCAGCCTCTGCCTGTATCTAAGACATGTGAAGCTAACCTCTGTATCCCTTTACACATATTAATTCACTATATCAGCATATGTCACAAAACCACACAATAAATACAAAATAACCATCCCAAGAAAAAAGATAAAATCTACCACTGAGAATTTTCAATATTTGTAAGAAATTAACTGCAGTTTTCTAATAGATCATGGCCTGAAATTTTAATTTTTTAATTACCAATAAACTGTGTCAATGGACAACAGAAAAATGGAAGTGTTATCAAGACGTCTGTCCATCAGTAACTGAAATACATTTAGCAATACAAAATTTTGCACTATGTAGAACAAATGAAAATGAAAGGAAATTAACTCACCTTCACTTCCAAATAGAGCCTTCTACAAATTATCCACCAAATCACATTATTATTATTATTATTATTATTATTTAAACAAACATGGCTGCAATAAACAACAGAAACAATAGTGCACAATCTGAGACTTCTATTGTACATAATGGTTGGCAGTCCAGCGGTCCAGTCTCACGTCTACACGTTAACATTTTCTGGAGGAACCAATTAGGGGAGGGATAGGGACCACTGATATTTGATACAGAACCATGTTACTTTGTGTTCTTTCTTAACGTACACCCACTTGTATCATCACTGACACCCAAGCATAGTTTTCACAATCCATCCTTGTATATACTGCTCTTCACTCATCACCACCTTCCTCACCCTCTTCAGCTAGAAACATAAATATGTTAAAATAAGTAACTGAAAAAGATTCTCAAGTTTAGAAAGGAACTTCAATAAACAAATGGAAAATACACAAGCATGTGCAACTGAAGTTCTGTCACATGAGTAGATAGTATCCTAATGATAATTAACACTCTGAGCCTGGAGCCATTTAAATATCCACCACACCATGTGTCAGTGGTTTTAAAGGGGCTTGGGGGGGAGGGAAGCCTGTTTTCAATTTATGATATGCAATCACAAGTATATTTACCTTCATCATCCCCTTCTTCTACAACTTCTTCCCCATCATCTTCATCTTCTTCCACCATAACCTCATCATCATCACCCTCTTCACCTTCCACATCCTCCTCCTCTTCAACTTCCTCCACCACTACTACTGAATCATCTCCTTCCTCTTCTTCACTGTTAATACCAAAACAAGAAATCACTCTGAATATCATTAACACTTAAGAAATACAATAACCAATCATTAATAATAAACAGTATCAAGCAATTTCTACCCTGAAAATGTAAGCAGCCTGTCCTTCTAATACACTGGTAACAACCTACAGATCACAAGGTGTTGTAATCATCAATCTATATTTTCTGTTGTACTGCAACAGTGAAGAGGAATTCATACAGCATCCCATACTACACACCAGCAGTGAATTATAATTAAGGCATACACACACCCTTTGGACTCTTCAAATCTAAGGTTTATTTAGTGAATAGAAAATTGTAACTGAGGAAATTCTAACTGGGGGAAATTTTACAGATGTGGGGTCACTGAAATTGAATGATAAACTAGAGAAAAACCAAATCATGGTACAATAAATGGGAGTTCCACTGTGTGTGTATTTCCCAGTCAAGAAGTTTCTCAGGGAACCTGTGGAAAAGAACTTCCTGAAGGTGAAGACTTCTCATATGGGAAATATAAAATTAGTTTCACTTTATGGACCCACTTTTGTGTTTTGATCCTAAGCGTTTTGTGATATTCCATTCATAATAACAAGTTCTGGAAAGAACTATCACCTGCTTTTCCTTCCACTACACATTAACTGATACAACAATCTGACAGGCTGCAGTGTTGGTATTACTGAAGAGACAGATTTATGAAATGTCATTAAGAAGGGCTCAGGTGGCATGATGTACATATCAAGTTTCATGAGAAGTTAATGAATTCAAACACTACAGTCCCTTGGTGAAGAAATTTAAGACAGTCAACAACTTTTGTGCCTATTTCTTTGTTTTCTAGGAAGATCCTGCAGTTCAGCAATGAGGTAACTTCCTATGTAAATGTATGTGTTAACAAGCACAGTATGTAAGTACAGGCCACAGACTAAACATACAAAATAATGGAGACACTATAATAGTATGATGTAGTGCATCATTTCACCTGATTATATTATACAGAGGGGAGACCCCATTTTGTGTGTTCCATCTTTGACAAGAGGGCTCCAACTATTACTGGTCATATACAAACAAATTATGAGAGAACTATAGACTACACAAATAACAGAATCTAGAGAATACAGAAGAATCTGGAAAGAATGTGCTGTCAAGATGAGCCCTGGCTGGATTAAATAAAATGTCTTAAAATATCAAGCAAATGGAAAAAGAAGTATAGGAAGACCTCTGAAACAATATTAAACATGGTGATATCCAAATTAATAATACGAATACCTTGAAATTCCTTGGGCTGACAATTGATAGAATTTAACATGGAAGGAACATATCAAACAAATAGCCAGCAAAGTGAGCTCGGCTTGTTATGCTATAAGAGTTCTAGTCTCAATATTGTCCCTAGAGAGCTTATTGATGATGCATAATGCCTACGTTCATTCTATAATGTCATATGGCATAATATTCTGGGGAAATTCAACATATAGTACACAAGTATTTAAAATTCAGAAAATAATAATTAGGGTAATAATGAAAGCAGGAAATAGGGACACTTGTCGGCCTTTATTTAAAAAATTAAACATTCTTCCTTTTTATTCACAGTATATATTTTCATTATCAGTCTTCATAGTTAAAAACATGGACAAGTATGTAGCAAATTCAGATATTCATAACATTTATATGAGACAAAGATACGAACTACATTATCCAACTTATAAATCAACCAGGGCTCAAAAGGGAGTATCTTACACTGGAATTAGAATATTTAACAAATTACCACATAGTATAAAATTTTTTTTGCAAGATTTAAATAAATTCAAATATTCCCTTAAAATTTTTTTTGCAGGTGGGCTCTTTTTATTCTCTAGATGAGTATTATGAATGGGAAACAAGAGACGATTGTGTTAATTACAGATAAGTGAAACAACACTAGTCATTTTTAAAACTTCTATTGTAGGATACCTGTAGTTCTTTAGTTATGATTTTACTCTGTTATAGACAATGTTAATATGTATTTTATGATAATGATAAGTTGCAGTGCAAGTGTTACATGCATGTTGTATGTAATTATTTAATTGCAGGTGGGCTCTTTTTATTCTTTAGGTGAGTATTATGAATGGAAAACAAGGGATGATTGTGCTATTACAGATAAATAAAACTACACTAGTCATTTTTAAAACTTCTATTGTAGGATACCTGTAGTTCTTTAGTTATGATTTTACTCTGTTATAGACAATGTTAATATGTATTTTATGATAATGATAAGTTGCAGTGCAAGTGTTACATGCATGTTGTATGTAATTATTTAATTGCAGGTGGGCTCTTTTTATTCTTTAGGTGAGTATTATGAATGGAAAACAAGGGATGATTGTGCTATTACAGATAAATAAAACTACACTAGTCATTTTTAAACTTTTATTGTAAGATGCCCATAACTCTTTGGATATGATTTTGCTGTTATTGACAACGTTGATATGCATTTTGTTATGATAATAAGTTGCAGTGTGAGTGTTACATGCGTGCTGTATTTAGTTATAGCATTGTATCAGTAGTTATTGCAACAATGGTTGTGGATATGTTGTAATATCTTAATGACGTCCTCTGGATTAATTTTATTGTAACTAGGGCTTTGACGTGTTCTATATCTGGTGGTGCCATCGCCAAATGTAGATCTGATGAACAAAATAAATTGAACTGAATGGCAAGATTGTTCCAAAAGATCTGTATTTTCCTGCACTCATCTATTCACCAACTCACACAGCTTGGAGCACTCAGCTATGTAAAGACTTGAACTTGGCTAAATTAAGGGGAGCTATGTGGGGGGGGGGGAACTTAATGGTTCCCGTCTGCAAGTGAACTATACTGACTGAGCGACTGCCACTTGTCAGCAAAGTTAGTGCCAACTTTAACGGATAGAGGGCGTCTTGTGGTCAGCACAACGAATCCCCATGGCCGTTAAATTCGGTTTTCTAGACCAGAGCCGCTATTTCCTTGAAATAGCTCCTCTGTTATCCTCACAAGGCTCAGCGGACCCTGTTCCAAAACCACTTCTCAGAAAATCTGGTAGAGCTGGGATTCGAACCTGAACCTCTGGATCTGTAGCCAGGAACTTAGACCACAGAGGTGGTCTGTTTTTTATGTGTAAAAATACAATTTTAAAACTGTAAGAATGAATCAAACTACTTCAATTGTGCCTTTAAACAGTCACAATACACAGAACATTATTTGTAAACAATATAAGTAATAACCCAGCATACCTGCCATCATCTTCACCCTCAACACCATTTTCAACCTCAATGTCAGGCACCAGGTAATACTGCAGTGGATTGGGCCACATGTCATCTTTGATAACCTGGTGAACAAATGTGCAAATTATGTAAGAACATAGTTATGGAAATCAATCAAATATAAGGCAACACACTGACTGATATTTATGTGCTGAAAATGTCAATGCTGGCAAGTCTATGAATGTTAGATAACATGACTACATGCTGAATAATTGCTGGAATTGTTCCATTGTTTATCATATTCTACTATGCTACATAACAAGCAAAATTATAGCACATAAACCTAATTCAATTATGTACACAGCATTACAGGAGATTGCATAAGAAAATGTACACAAAGAATAAAAAGCCACCTTTACACCAGAAATATTCTTCATAAATGCAACACTAGTATGGGAGGAATACCTAAGCCTATAATCTGCATTTACCCGAACATAAAATGAGTTCTTCACACTTGGGAATCTTGAGAGGAAGAGAAGACCTTATTTGGGGGAGGTCAATTTATATTCATATACTTAGATAATACCATGCTGGAGATGTGTTTATGTTACAAATTAACCCTGCAGGCAATAGTTTTGGGTGGGCCACGTGGCTGTTTCATACCATTCTGCTGTTTTCAGTTCAACATCAAGGAAGTGTGTGAGATCTAAGGTTGTCATGGCAGTGACAGTGAACAGTACTATCTACTGCAATGTAGCACCATGTAGTCTGGTAATAAATTATATAAATTCACCCAAAATGTCAGTAGGCTTCTACTGCATTATGCAGTATCACATTCCAGAAGAAAGTTCTCTTCAAGGAAGTGTCTACTGCTGGCTCTATTCTATGAAACCAACAATAAAGTGGGGGTGTACAGTGATGGCAGCATCCTGAAGGTTGAAGCTTTCACACGTGTACATATTACATTCACATTTATTTGCGGGAGAGTAAAAAGGCACAGAGAACCAAAGTATAAAGAGATATTCCACAATGTCCCAGATATCAAATGGTGAGAACTGTGAACACAACCCAAACTTAAAATCAATGGCTGTTAAGTATGCTGATGAAAAAAATTGTGCTGCAGCAGGATATTTGATGTTACTGATATAAACACGTGAGAAAACTGAAAGAATTAAATTCTAACACAGATACAGATGTCACCCTTACAAAATTTAATACTGCTCTCATTATTATGATGCAGAAAATAACCAAACATATTAACAAAAAGCAGTTATAATACTATTCATTCCTTGGCTGCCCTCACAGGCCTTGTGATTAGAATACTAGCCTAGTACTGTATTTACTTGCAAAATTTATAAAAAAAAGTATTACATTTCAACCCTGTGTTTTCTGATTATCCCTAACAAATCTGATCACTGGGACAACTGATTTAGAGTGTGTAAAACGTTTCTCTGATATTTATAAGGCACAAAACCATTATTTGCTTTTATACATCTAAAGAATTTTTATATCCTTCCACAACCCTTCAGTTACAATAGGAATTGTTGTTGTACTGCTTTTAATATGCCACTACCCACTGTTCCATCCTCTCATATCACTGGTCAGCATTCAGAGGCTTGTTTAATACTGTTACCTCTGTCACTCCTGCCCCTGTGATCCCACCAGTTAAACTGAGAGCAGCTGTTACCTACCACTGTGGACAGAACTCATATATTATTTCAAAAAGAATGAAACTCAAACTTTCTCCTACAACCAATCCTTCTTCAACATTATGTAGGTGTAATTTTCCCAACCTTAATCCAAAACGCAAAATTATACTCTGAGAAGTAACACTCCCATATTTAACACACGTTTTAGGCAGAAATGTTTGGACATGAAAGTATGTAAATCATGGGAATATTCGTATTCGTATTATGAGAGTGGGTGGGTTTCCCCATGCACTTAGACCAGTTATTGGTCCATTGTGCGTCCCCCTTTAATTTCTATTGTCGCCATACCCTACCGGTAATGGTGCAAGCCATCAGCCCCCGTAGAACCAACGAGGTCGGCACTCGGTACCTTGATGCTTCCCCCATCCACCAGATGCATTGGAGACTACTTGGGCGGGAAAGGGCCTGTAATTTAGCTCAGAGGTCTCCTAGAGACAAGAGGTTCTTTTACGTTCTGTAAATCTACGACACGGGACACACGGCTTAAAGTCCCTCCTGGAGGACTTGTTCCCTAAATTTTTCCGCCCTTAAAAATTCCATGACTTTCGCCAGGTTTGAACCCGTGTACCTTGAGTCATGAGTTGGGATCGTTACCCCTAGACTACAGAAGCCGCTTAATCATGGGAATAAATATAATATTCCAAAGATCTCCTGTCTGCTCCAAACTTTCCCTCAGAAGAGGTAAAATAAAACTACACAAGAATGAAACAAGTCACCATATGATGGGAACAGAGCCAACTCCCAATACAATATGTATGTGTAGTGGCTATAAAATAACCGTACTGATGCTCTAAGATCTGACAGTCATCAAATCACACAACGGAAATGTCATCACCTTCAAGTGGTCCCCGCCCCAACCCCTACACAGCTCCAAGTGAATTTTCCCCTGTTGGAAGCAATGATGCAGGTCCTTTTCTGATAGCTTCTTCATTACCTCCATTGTCTTTGCCTTCACTGTATCTATGGACTCAAAACTTGTCTTTGCCTTCACTGTATCTATGGACTCAAAATGGGTTCCTTTTAATACAGACTTCATCACTGGAAACAAAAAATGTCACACAGGGCTAGGCCAGGTGAGTAGGGTGAATGTTCCAACATGGGGATCTTGTGCTTCACCAGAAACATATCGCCAGACACTTTGCCGTGTGCCAGCGTGTTGTCATGGTAAAGAATCCATGAGCCCTTCTTCCACATTTCAGATCTTTTTCTTCTCACCCGTTCATGGACTGTCAAAACCTCCTTACATAAAGTAGTTACTATAAGATTCTGATTATATAACCTTTTTGTTTTGTGACATTGGTTGTCCAGTTGATTGAGGCTAGCTCTTTCTAAGGGACCCAACAGAATAGGTGTTTTCCCTCACCTGAGGACAGAAACAGATCCAGTTTCCGAAACGTTGTATTTTTCTTAGTTACCTTAAAAACCAGGACGATAGATAAAGTCCGAAAACCCAATATCTCTGTCTCCTTATAGTAGATCTGACCTTCAGGCACCCAATCAATCATATATATAAAGACGATCATCATTGCTCTGAAATTTGACTTGCTCTTCAGTGTTCTCTTCTCTTGGTGACATGAGACTCTTCCAAAGCGTGGATTGGTACTTAGTTTCAGGGTCATATTGAAAAACCATGTTTCATCACAAGTTATTACATTTCCTAAAAAGTCTGGATCATTTTCAACGAAGGATGTCGGCACAAATGTTCGAGTTTCCTTGTGCTCAGGGGTGAGGATTCTTAGCACCATCTTCGAGCACCCTTTTTTTCATGTTAAAATGTCCACGTAAAATCTGTCGAACACTTTCTTTATCAACGTTAGCTAATCCAGTGACTGCTCAAATGTTCAGGCAACAATTTTTTTTGAACAATTTCAACGATTTTTTCAATGTTAGTATGTTCTGATGTGCAAGGCTCACAGGTACGCGGGTCATTTTCGATCTCTCCCTTTCCCTCTTTAAATCTTCTGAACCACTCAAAAACTTGAGTATGAGATAGACATTCTTCATCACTATACCATCAACAAATTGTATGTTTCTGTGACGGATTTTTAAGTTTTGCAAGGAATTTCACATTTGACACATTGCTCTGCTCTAACAAGTAACACAATTGTGATGCAGCTCAGATACACAGTCAATTTCAAACAAAGGCTGCTACAACACTGTTGGCCACATGACCTCGGAGGTCTTACAGTTGATGGAGAGGACAGGACAGGCTAATATACCATCCCACTTGCTGCTGCCAAGGCTACAGGGACTCGGCAAAAAAAGCAACCCGTTTATTTTATAGCCACTCCATGTACACATACATCAAATACACCTCAAACAATGAACTATCTCCAATATATTGGTATTGCTGAATTTTGCAAGTCAGCCATATTACCTCTGCAATGTCATCTGCTGATGGGTCACCATGATCTGTGAACCAATTAAAGAATGTCTTTTGTTCCAAAGCTCGTTTTCTCCCCTTTCCAACATTCTTTTCTTTGCCTTTCTTAGTTAAGTCATTTCCCTCCTTCCATCGAATGGGGGTACTCTGAGAAGCCGGATCTCCTAAAACAACAATAAATATACAGTTGACAGATATTACAACTCAATACTATTACCACTGCTAGTATATTCTCATTTAAGGGATGCAAACAGTGAACCTCTACACAATTAAAATGTATACAACAAAATTCCCAATTCTGGTTAATATTGGCACATTTGGTCATTAATTACATTCAAGTGCCACTGACATGAGTCTTCATAATTTGATAAAACATTTATTTCAGAAGTTGGTAATACCTTGACAACACCTCCAACAACCAATACTGATGACTGGCATATCTACAGCTTCTTCAATGCAAGCTTCATAAATATTCATCGCCCCCAAATCATATACCGTATAAAAAAGTTCAAGTTTTATGAAACAACTGTCACTGGTCTCGAACCTGACCTTTGTTAGCACACTGTTGGATACAGACACATATGAAACACCAAGGCCCTTTCATTTTGTTTCAATTTATGCCTCTAATGTTACCAGCAGATACACTTATTCCTTTTTTTACTTCCTACTACCATTTGGAAATTGTTTCACAAAGAGAAGATTGGGGTTTTCAACCAACTCAATAGTGCAGAATCCTTTATAGAGGTGAAGAACATTTCCAATCTTTATGGAACCTGAAGGTTGCTCATAATTACCATGTTCACAAGAGCACATATGATCACTGACTTTACAGAGGCGAACGATTACTGTGCTGAAGAACTTTCCAAATCTTTATGGAACCTGAAGGTTAATTACCATGTTCACAAGAGCACATATGACCACTGACCAGGGCCAAATTAATCCAGTTTACACCTGTTCACTGGATCTCTTTAGGATCCACTTTAAGTTCTCAAGCTGGTTGAGTATGGCTCACAGCACTGTTGGTACAAGTATGCACTCACCAACTGCAGGCTCACAGAAAAACTGCCACTTACCTGCCAATTCTTATAAGATACAATTAACAATAGCACTGGACTTTGGATGTTGCAATTGCCATCGCACTAGTCAGTTCCTTCATTTGAAGACACACACACATGATATATATATAAGCAATTTATGACCTTCTAACCAGCTGAAGAGAAAGGCTTATGATGTAGCTTCAGCTTCTGGGAGAAGGGCATGTCATGTGTTGAAGGTATTTCATGTTTTGGCAAACTTTGCAGTTACAGTCTTTAGGATTAATGAATCTGGGGGAGTTTGGAAGGTAGCTCTTATACAGCTCTCACATTAGGCAGCGTACGAAGCAAAGCTGCAATTGAATAAACAGAAAAGCAGGGTGCTAACTCATGCGGTTAAAAAAAAGAGGCAATAAAAATTCTTGGAAGTTCTCATGAACTTCAGAAGAGATGAAAGCTTTCTTTTTTCAGTGATCACATAGTTAAATATAAGGCAACGAAAAATGTTCTGGTGACCTGGTGGTCATGAGAAGAGGAGGGGAAAAATGGTTCAATGAACCCAAGTTTAAGACAACAGATGATGGAAGAGATTATTTAATTTCATTCATTCATTCATCCATTAACACCCCCAATGTGGATGGGAAAAAGTTTAGTGTTCTTACATATTCCAATGAAGCCGGCACACACAAGCGAAAGTTGCTCATTACACAAAAAAGCTAGAATCCTAAGGTATTTAAGAGGATCAAACAAGTAAAATTTGGTGTGCTGTAGATATTTTCCAGTGTGTACTTTGACATTCAATTTGGGAAAAATTGTCCTTTTTCATGCTTAAATTTCCTCAGTGTTTACAACATTGATTTCCCATGTACATTTCTGTAGACAAATACATAGCATTTTTCGAAACCTAATAATCCATCTACTGGATGGTTTCAGTTCATTTGTTTTAATACAGTTTCTTCAGCCTTTCTTTTTAAAACTGTGCAATTAACAGCTGTATAACGAGCACATTTTTGACGTAACCATCCCATCAGCACAGAATTTCGGTTATTTATATTTCAGTTTCATCTTCTTCTAGCTTAGCTGGTTCAGTGACTGAATGCTGGGGTGCAGTATTTCCATTTGTCATTATGGTGTTCAGGATTGATAATAGGATACCAAGATGATCCATGATTTTTGTACTAGGAACAGTGGTACTAGCGCCTACTTTTTTTAATGAAGTCAAACTTTGGGTAACTGAGAGTGCATTGTGTTTCATTCAAGCCTCTGACATGGTAGCCACACTGATCATACCTTGTTTATTAACGTTACAAAAATTGTAGATTTCATATTTAAAGAAAAAGAAAGAGTGGGAAATTGTAAGCCAGTATGGGAAATAATTTATGATGTACATACTGATATGAAAACAAAGTAAATGTTTGAATTTTGGTTGTGTGCCGTTCATTTTGTGCTTTTAGGATATAAAACTGTTTTAAGTAGGCAAATAACTATTAAAGGGGTTAAATACAAATAAATAACAAAAAAGAATATTGGAATAAAATTATCTGTATGTCTTATGTGATGCCACCTTAAGTGAGCTTCACTATATATTCATTTCTATTTAATGAAACAACTCATGCTTTTTTTTTTGTGGGAGGCCTTTTTTTCTTGAAGTTCCTTGTTTAACAGAAGTACATAAATTATGAGAACAGATATGGTATGTCCAGTTGGCTAATGAGTTGAAAGTTAGTTAACCGCACAGTTATTCATGACCTACTAGGTACAAGTATGGGGTTAACAAAAATTATAGCTTCATTTTATACACAATCCAAGCAAGTAAACAAACAAGTGGGTGTGTGATATACTTTGGAATGTTATATTCACAATCCTGGTTCTTGGAATGATGTAAGCCAATATAGTAGTACAAGGTGGTTCAAATATGATGGGACTGACTTTTTTTCTTTAAACCATAATTGCCAAACACTTACTTGCACATGTCAGTCTTCAATGTACTCCCCTCGGGAGTCAACACATTTTTTCCAATTATCTGGAAGCAGCCTGATGCCCTTTTCAAAAAAGGCTTGTGGTTGGTGGTGTATCCACTCCTGAATGGTCTGGATGATGGCGTCTTCATCCACAAACCCCATGCTTTGCAATTCTGATTTGAGTCTTCCAAACAGGCAGAAATCACTTGGGGCCAAATCAGGACTATATGGCAGATGTGTCAGAAGGATCCATTTCAATTTCTGGAGGGTTTCCATTGTTTTGGCCGTATGGGGCATGCTGTCTTGAAGGAAGGCTACCCACTTTCCACCTGTCTTCTGCTTGGATCGGATCATTTCCTTCATGTCTGTTGCCAGGAGGTCTGAGTAATTCAGAAAGTCTACATGGATAACCCCCTGCCAGTCCCAGAAGAACGCTGCCATCACTTTTCCTGCCGAATGGCTCCTCGCACTCTCTTGGGTTTGGGAGAACTGGTATGCCGCCACTCGCATGATGACTGCTGAGACTCGGGAATGAAGTAGTGCACCCACGTTTCATCGGTGGTCACTAGAGACTTCAATAATGCATCACCTTTGTCTTCAAACTGCTGTAGGAGACGACTGGCAGCTTGCATTCGCAACATTTTGTTCACGTCCGTCAAAGTGCGTGGTACCCACCGTGCATTCACCTTGCGATAGTGCAGGTGGTATTTCACAATATCTTCTACACTACCAACACTGATGGACAGCATTGCTCCAAGTTCCTTGATAGTAATGCGCCAATTCTCAAGAATAAGTGAGTCTGCATGATCAATGTTTGGCTCGGTGACAGATGTTCGCGGCCTTCAATCATGCGGTTCATTCTCCACGCGCTCTCTGCCCTCTCTGAAGCACTTACACAACTCAAACACATGGGTCCATGAGAGACACTCTTCCCCATACTGTTGTTGGAGTCTGTGGTGAATTTCAGCAGACGGGACGTTTTCTCCAACAAGGAATTTGATCACAATGCATTGTTCCACGCTCTGTGGTACCTTCTGTTCGCTCATCGCTCTAGCAACTCATAGACAAGACCGAACAGGTTCTAACCCGAACAGGAGGGAGGGTGGAGGCTGTGGCTTCACTCTCTCAAGGTTGCACAGCTGCTGCGCATTGCAGCTTGTTTACACACAAATCGGTCCCAGTCATATTTGAACCACCTTGTATTATGCCACTTAAAACAATTTCACCCACGTATATCTAAGAGAGTTTACATACAGTGGGTTTGCCAATCTTGAAGTAACACCTTCTTTACCAAAATGAGGAAAATGAATAAGAAGTCACTTAACCCTTTTAACAATGACAGATATTGTATGTACCACTTGCTTTAACATTCAGAAACTGAATTCTGTCAACATAATGCATTTATATATTTCATATGATTCTCAAAACAGATATTATTTTAGTACTAAAGGGTTCAGACTCAGGATTACTGACTTTCTGAACATTATGGTCTAATATTATAAACGAACACGAACATACTGGAAGAGGGGCTGGGGACGCACCTACTAAGGTGCATCATTTAATAAAGCTAATCTCAAATAATGGACAACCAAAGCCAGTGTAACTACATTTATAAATGAGAAACTGTTTCTTCACATGGTGCAACACAAACTGCCAGTAAGGTTCCAATACGTAGATGACATATGTGGTCTGGCCAAATGGTTTAGATAGTTTACAGAATTCTTTCAGTCCTTCAACAATCTATGATCTTCCATCCGATTTACCATGGAAACAGAGTCAATGTGATTAATTTCCTGGATACTGTCATCAGAAAGGGATCCATACTGGCCACTACCTTAACTTAACTACAAGTTAAGAATAATTCTGAGCCTACACAGGACAGCTTCTACCACACACCAAGAGCAGGGCTTAGTCAAAGAAACTTAACGATCTGATACGTAATTTTCAGTTAAATGGTTATCCCCCATGGTTTATTTACTCAGAAAATTTATATTTTCTAGGATATAATGCAATGTAGCTCAAAGGAAGTCACATGACATTTCAAAGGAACATACTGACTTTCAACAAACTGTAGAGCACTATATAACAGAAGACAGAACTCTTCATAACCACCAATGTGAGATCCTCAAACTCCATGTCCAGTTACTAACGTGACAATACTATAGCAGTAGTTTTATCACAAACCACATCCTCTCCTAGTGACTTACCAGAAGACCCCAGGTGAAATTCTTTGGTGAGTACATCATTTTCAAAATATGGGTTCTCTTCAAAGTGAAAATTGATTCTGGAACAGAAAATAGTAGGTTAGTGAGTTATTAGGGCACACTGATATAAACATTTTTATTGGAGTCCTTTGTAACACAACATACCGGTCAAGGTTAAAATTACCTTAGCTACATGTTTCGGCTTTTTAAAGCCATCATCAGGTTAAACACATGATTACTATATTCACACATTATTGAACTGCAATGTCATTGTGATACTAAAGCTGGATACTTGATAACTGTTACATTATAAAATACAAGGTATAAAAATACTTTGACTCCAATAAAGAATTGTATATAATAACACAACAGGATGCACAAATGAAAAGAAAAACACTGATATAAAAATTAAAATTGTATGAATAACAAAACAGACACTGGATCTGAGATTCTCAAAATTGTGACTGCCAAGAGCACTATGTGGGCTGTAAGAATGTGTAGTCTGGTAGAACATGCTGCTTTGTTTTCTAGGTTGAAGAGTATGTAAAGCAATTGGACAGCAGGAAGCAGGCTACTTGCTTTGCTCACTCTGACACTGAAGATGGAAGAAGTACGTTCCTCTAAGGCCTAGTGCACACATGCAATTTTTAGTTGGCCGATAGTTGTGCACGACCATGGAGGCCCAACAACTGTCGAGGGACATGTGCACACATATAATTTTCAGTTGTCCACAACTACGCCAATGAGCAGTCAGTCAGTTGCAGCATGGATGTGTACGATACAGCAGTAGTATGTGCATTATTAAGATTAAGGAAAAAGGAAGTGGGAATATTGGCTTCATCCTATTTATAGCGAATGTCTGTTAAAAAGGAAAATTTTACACATTGTACCATGAACTGAGACAATACCCATCAAAATTCTTCAATTACTGCAGAATGAGTGCTGATAGTTTTGATGAATTGTTGATTCTTCTGAAACCTCATATCTTGTACACGAATACAAGATGGAGATTGGACTTTTAAGGTTGTCAGCCCTACGCGCCAGCCGCCCTTTACCGCCAAGAATATTCCTGGTACTCATTTCTGTTAAGAGGCTGAGTCGACCACAGGGCCAGTGTGGCTGGAAGGATGGGGTAAATTGAAAACAAAATCTAATGACCTCATCTGAATTCAATCCCATGACCTTCCGGCTTGTACCATAGTGTCTCAACCAACTACGCTACTGCATGCCCCATTGCAAACACAAAGCACACAAAAATAGTACTTTTCTCTTACATAACATTAAGGGTATGATCACTTTTTATGTAAGTTATTAGACTCATTACACTTCAGTAAGAATTGTCAACGAAACAAAAATCGATCATGCTAATACTACTGTATATGCAGACCATTCCAGTTTTCAGTCAAAGCGGTACACACCTCTTCCCACAACTTTTTCTTATGATTAGTATCACAATATTCTTTACATAATTTTAAATAAAAAGCTGGCCACTACTTCTACTATAAGCTTTTCAGTGCATTGATCCCACATGTTGTAACTAGCTGGACAACTGACATTAAGCTCATAAATTGCTACTAATGGTTACATAACTGCCCCATGCCACACATTCTAGAATGTACCAACTCAACTGGGGTAGGTGGGGTTGTGGTTAGAGAGAGAGAGAAAATCAAATAAGAATTAAACATAAATTATGAGCAAATTCCTATATCATGATATACTCAGCTCTGTCCTAAATTAACAATCAATGGAATGCCAATGTCTACCAAAGGCCATTATCATATATTCCACAGCACTTGCAAAGCTTAAAAAAGTTTGTGTAATTTTTTCCTTCATGCCCTACACCTAATACTCAGAAATATAAAAATATGATGGTAAAATAAAACACATTTCACCACAATCTCATTATAATTAACTACTATATATTACACTCACCTGTAACCAGACTTGATATCTTCAAATTCTTCAACTTCAAGTTTTGACAAGTAATGCAAGCAATCCTCTTCATCTTCTTCAAGGATTGCTGAAATCTGAGGGTGATTTACAAACTGGATGGATGTTAAAGAAAACTGATGAAAGACAAACTGTATTAAATAATCCAGAAAACATACAACTTATTTTATTTATACACATATCATTCACACTCTTCTTAAAAAATGTTACACCAAATGTACAAGTATGCCAAAATTAATATATATAATGCAGCTTTTACATCACTGGCAGCAGTGTCAATTTGAAAGGGAATGATGGATTTTCACATGCTGGGAGTTACCAAGCTGCAGTGATGAGGATTATTACATCAGAACAGACTGCAACAAATATCTCATAACAAGTAAGATGACAGTAGATTAGCAAATTTGAGCTTTCCAAGAATTCTCAGTCTTCTGGATGTGATACAGCACAAAATCAATTCGCTTCAATTCAAAAAACATAAAATTGCTGACTACTATTCTGAAGTGTCCTATTATTCCTACTGAGTGCCAATAATGCATCCCTGACAACTCAATCACATTGAACCTTGTAGCATTTAGCAATACTGATAAAACTAGGCAGCTCTTTACAGGTATGGTTTCAGTGTTCAGGGTAATTTAGGTAAGATCAGTATATGTATAAAGAAAGATTAACAAAAGCACCTCAATCAAAAAGTACTAAAACAATGACTCCTCATATCTTATATTAGAGACCTTTAATGGATTGTTACTTAGTGCTTGTGAACTCTGTGTTCATTGAATTACCTGCATCTTTAAGAAACTTTAGACAGAATAACGGTAATTTAGTGTCACTGATGATACATGAAAGTTCAATATTTTTTTTTTCACAGTTCATTAAATTGCAAGAAACAAACACTATATTACTGTTGTTAACTGCGGTTTCCAAGAACACAAGGATGTGACACATCTTCTTACAAGTCAGGATGGAACAAAACAGGGGAAACAGAATGACTTTATAACTGCATGTTTTATTCCCCAAGTACTTCAATTTTCACAATTTCACATTACTTCTAGAAGTCTTGTCTTACAATCAGAGCAAATGTTTCCTTATTATTAAATAAACCAAACCTATTCATAATTACCATGCCTGTCTACAAACTTCAATACTCATGTTTCATCGTTCCTTTCAGTTAGATTAGGTGCCCATTTCATTGAATAGAAAATCAGTAGTTACTTGTCATTCTATGTGCTGCCTGTATGTAACTTTACACAGCTTCACCTGTCCTCAGCATTAACCAATCTACATCAACAGTGATCCTTCCAAACCTGCCCTCTGCAGTTGGAAGATCTGTCTGAAAATCCAATAGGCAAGGTAACATGTTGGAGGAATTATTTTTTCTTAGAACACTACAAGTACAGACAATTAATGTTGCACACCATCAACATGACAAATGTGAATGGTTAACTGTCTTTTCAAGATGGAATCTTACAACTGATGCGTACACTTTTTAATGTGATGATTACAACTGTTATCCATATTTATCATTGTGTAATACTATCACATGAACCCAGACAAAAATTTCATCGTAAAGATAAATGTGACATTGCACAATTATAAAAGGAACACGAGAGGAAAATGAAATATCCATGTGCACTGTAAGTAGCAAAAAAAGAGACAATGATACACAAAATAAGGAGAAGTGTTGAAGACCCTTAGATACTGTCACGTTTATGAGTGACCACAGACAGGGTTTGGGTAACTGGCTTTACTGAACTCATACAGATAATAACTACATGTAATTATAGCGCTATCACTAATTTACACATTCAGCTGTTCATAACAGCATGTATTAAGTCTTCTTAGTCTGCTGTGTCATCACGAGTCATTATCTGGTGACAGATCCCAACAATGTCCTCTGCTTATGTGCTCACATTCTAACTGGCTGGTGACTGGGTTCCATTAGGTGAGTTTATTTCAGTCTTTTGTTTTCTATCTACAAGGAAGGATCTGAACCAACCTGCCATTGTTCCCTGAATACCTTAAAATTGTAATTTAGTTAACAAAATTTCATGATTAACACAATCAAAAGCTTTAGCTAAATCACAGAATATTCCACCTACATGCATTTTCTGGTTAATAGATTTTAATACACTGTCTGTTAGCATAAAGGCCGCGTTTTCTGTGGATATTCTCTTCCTGAAGCCGAATTGTTCTGGGACCAGTATATTATTATTCTGCAAATAATAGCTTAATCTATTGTACATAACTTCATCAAGTACTTCAGAAAAAGTATAATATGATCCCGATTGGTAACATCTTTAACAAGCTTCTCTGGATCCTCAACATTTGCTAGAGGAGCATTTGGCTTAAAAATGCTACATGTCAAATTTAGAGCGCAGGTTTTCTTGAAGCAAGGGTCCAATTCCCCTAGCATGACTGCTTCCCAATTTTTTTTTCAATTCAATTCAATTTATTTTGTTCATCAGATCTACATTTGGCGATGGCGCCACCAGATATAGAACACGTCAAAGCCCTAGTTACAATAAAATTAAAATCTCGTATAAATGTTATGAACATCTGAATTTGCTACATACTTGTCCATGTTTTTAACTATGAAGACCGATAATGAAAATATATACTATGAATAAAATGGAAGAATGTTTAATATTTTAAACAGAGGCCAATAAGGGTCCCTATTTCCTGCTTTCATGATTACCCTAATTATTCTTTTTTCAATTTTAAAGATTTGGGTACTATATGTTGATTATACATCATCAATAAGCTCTCTAGTGATAATATTGAGACTAGAACTCTTATAGCATAACAAGCCGAGCTCAATTTGGGATATCTAATATGATAATATTTATGTTATTGAAATCCTTACAGAATTTTACAAACTGTTAGTGCTAGCCTTGTGTTATTTCTATACACATCATTAGCTCCTCCCTGTACTACTATCACGTCTTTTTTGGTCAGACTTCTGTAATTCTGATTCATTGATGTAAGGATATCCTCAATACCCGCACCTGGTTTAATCATACCCATTACCGCAAATTTATCTCCTAAGTAATCACTTGTGTTTCTTGCTGTTCCCTTACAACGGCTATCACCTATTATCATTATTTTATGCTTATTTATCTCATTTGGTCCTTGGTTAGTTCTTTTGATGTTCTTAGTCTTTACAATTAAGTTAAGCTTAGATTTTGGTGAAAGCATGTTGTTATCTCTCCTATTAGTTCTTAGTTACATATTCACAATCACTGGAATTGGTTTTGATACTGTTGGTAAAGTTTTTGGTTTTGTTAAGAAGTCAGTGATTATACTATTACTGCTTAAATTTGGAAGCTGCTCATCCTGCTGGTTATCTTGTTCCATTCTTGAATATATCACATTATTGTCATTACACTTAACTTTTTCTTCTTCTTTAGTTTCACTTTGTCGTAGTCTTTGCTCTTGTATCAATTTATATCCCTCATTAGGGAAGACACTTCCACTGTCTTTCTGACTTCCACCGACTGTGCCGTTCATAACCTCTAATTCAATACTATATATATGTCTTCCTGTAGCAACTCAACAATTTTTTGAGTTGATCTTAGTTCAATTCAAGTCCTTTCCAATTCCAATTCAAGCTCTGCACAGCTAATACATGTTATTTCACTCGGTTCATCATTATTACTAATTAATACTGTAGGGCGGTTAATACAGCTCTCCACACGACCCGCCATATTGCCAACAGTAAGATCTTTCTTTTGCTATTATTTTTCATGGGACTAAATCCATAAGGTGCACCACTGGCCAGTGTGGGAAGACAGACATTCCATTAAAACCATAGTTAATGAACACCACTATCACACTTCACTATATCACCTAGAAAGCTGGTCTTGACAGAACAAAGCACTGAGCTGGGTCACTGTGTCGTACTGAACAACACCAGACTTCTGACTAAAAAGTCCAAGTGTCAGGACCAGTTCATAAGAAAAGTGAGAGATCATGCTCCACGTGAATAATGCCAACAGGCAGGGTGGATTTTTTGTAAGCAGATCACTGAAGCCTCCCATCTGGTCTCTGAAGGAAAGGAAGGAGCTTTTCTCCAAGAACAAACCAATTATTTCCTCTTAAACAAGTGGTTCTCAACCAGTACACCATGACTGTTGCCAAGCGCACTGTTAGGCTTTGAAGAGAACAACAATTACACAAAATAAAATATGTGAACTATAAAATCAGTAATTGTTATACACATCCACAAACTACAAAGAGGGGGAGAAGTATGAAATCTCTTCTGTAAGGGTAAAATTTTATAAAGTTTGCAAACCACTGCAATTACATGAACTTCTTAAACTGATAACTCCACAGAGATGAGCCATCCTTGACAAGTTGCCAGCTGCTCAGCTACTCAAGTCTAACAATTCATGGAACCTAAAGGTTCATTACCATATTCACAAAAGCACTACACTGGTACCTATCCTGCACCAGAAGAATCCAGTTGACACTGTGCACTTCTTAAACTGATATTTGTAACAAAAAATTTGTTCTGTTCCATGACAGTGTTCTATTTTTATGCAACATGATATTTAAAAAACTGACATACTTTTACTACACATTTCAGTCATTTGTTCTAACCCTAGTGCAACACAAACAAGCTAACATCCAAAGTGTGATGCAAAACAGTTCAGAACCAGTCTCCTATGACGTGTACTTGGGCACCTGAGTAGGGGACAGCAAGAAAAAAAGGATGTTTCCTGGCTTCTTATGTCCTATCCACTGGGGGCCCAAAAAGGGCAATTCTCTCCCTAGTTCTCCAGTTCAAATTCCCTTAATATGGGGAAAATTATCATGGTCTTGAAAAGGGGTGCTTTCTCCATTTTGACAAAATTCCACATGGTATCACAACCCAGAAGACCATTATCTTACACTATCTGTTGTGAAAACCACAAAACTTTCATGTCCTTATCTTACTTCAAAACTAAACCCATATTAATTTTTTTTTAAGTTCACTCGATTAAATGTGGCACCAAAGTCCAAATACCTACATTTGAATTATCTTGGACACGCCATTATTTCCTTTATACGACATCGAGGGGTATTGCGAGAAAACCTAACCTCTACAAATAGTACAGCAAGTATAACTTCCCACCCACCCCTTTGATTACCGGTATTCCTACACTTCTGATGTACTACATGGGTTGCTAACAATATACAGTTAAAAAATTGGTACACACATAAATAATGTGATAGAAGATTATGTGCCTATAGCAGGTGGCGGGAGGGTTGGCTATGCGACAGTCATTTGTTTGTCCGGCATTTTCACGTGTTTGAAGTTATGTTTATAACTGTATTTACATATTACTGCTATCCTGCAAAAGATATCTCTACATGCACAAGTTTAAATTTATCTGTATTTATGGTGAAAAAAACAAAGCACTTCTTTAATTTATATAACCACATTAACAAAGCATTATCCAAAACGTTTAGACAAACATGGCGGACAAAGCCAAAACACGCTAGCCGATACATATATCACACTACAAATTGTAATTAATATACAAGCCTTTCAAAGGATACTGCAGTAACCCAAAAATTTGGTATCCTCTTGATAATGTCGTTCCTTTTTTCGAAATACGGCTTTCTTAATTTGTTGTACTTCTGTTCCACCTTCAGTATTTCCTCGCTTGCCTTTTCATTCAGTGCATCGATTTCGTTTTGACAAGCATCTATTTCTTCCAGTGCTTTCTGAGTTTCGGCATCATAATCTCGTCCTTCTTCTCCTTCGCCAGATGCACTGGCTCCTTCAACTTTCTTTAACTTCTTCGGTGTTGCTCCACTCGACATTTTCCGGATATAAAATTATAAACGCAGCGTACCTACTACCACCACACACAGTATTCAAACTGGCCCGATGAGAGAGGACGGTCCAACACCGAGCCGATTTCATAGAATATCTATGATTGGTTAGAGCGAAATTGTAATGGCCTACCTTCAGCGAATAGTGAACGAACGCGGCTTCTGGAGGACCAATAGCGTACTCTGTTATAAGACGTGAAGTCATCCGGGGTCTCAGCAACAAAATTAACATGGCGTCCGAAAGTGTAGGAAGTTCAGTGTTAAGTGATGAGTATGAAGTAAATAATACGTTGTCCGATGATTGTGAAGTAATTACAGATAATATCAATGTTCCGAAGTGCACGTCGATAATAGGACTTTCTATGAAAGTATTTGAAAAACGTGAATTAAATAGTTACCGCAACTTACCTGGCTTGTTAGCAACGGCGTCATCGGTTGATGGGATTGATGTAACAAATCTAGATAATGAAGACATTCTAGACAGTGGCATCAGGTCTGAAGATACAGCAAATTCAGATCACAGTAAAAGGAAAAGAGTTCATCACGATTACCGAAAGCTTTCAAATTCTGGTTATGTTGATGATGCAATGGGCAGGCGATATTCTTCTAGCACATCAAGTGCTAGTGAAAGTGATATACCTTCCAAATTGATAAAAATAAAGGCAAACAGCAAATCATCTAACGAGCAAACTGCATATGATGACCATAATGTATCCAACACTGTGAATGGTGGTAGCATTCGAGAAGGGAAACAAATAGGTAAGTGAACCTGTTTGAGATTCGCTATTGTCATTAGCCATGAAAGTTATGAAGTTGCAAGTGGTGAACAGTGGAAGAAATTAATAGGGGTGAATGGCACGTTTGTGTTGTGAAGGAGAAGTTTCTAAGATTTACTTTTTAAATTTGTAGCACATGGTTGTGAATTTTGTGCCATTCAACCTCGTTTATGTTCGATTCAAAATATGTGAGAGAGAATACTGCATCAGTAACCGTACCAGTAGGTTTTGATGTTTCTTGAATTAGTGTTCTGGGTATGTGCTTTTTAGTTTTATGTATAGTGAGTGAAATGGGCTTCATACCTATGCATACATGCATGAATAGGTACACAAGAGTTTCTTATTGTTTCATTTGTTGAATTGATGACTAAAGGTAGTATTAAAAGTTGTTTAAATTATATAGATTTCTTTGTAGTGCTAAGCTGGGGTAGTAGAACATGTCATATACACTTCATGGTGTGTAAAGGAGTATGGAGCATTGGTTGAGTGATAGTAGGCAGGGAAAATTGATGTTCTTGGCCAAAGCCCAACCTCAGTGCCACTCTGTCCACCATAAATTGTATGTGGACTACAATGGAATTGAACCAAAGCCTCCATGGTCCAAAGCTGATGACTAACTTCCTGAGTTGAAGTGCAGACATTATAGGCTTTTTGTACCAGTATAAATATAAATGATGGTTGTTGCTCTTATTTATAGACATTTCATAAGGATGTCTTACAGAGCAAAGTGATTATGATAAACAGATGCACAATGTTTATTTGAGAGAGAAACATGCTGCTTGTGGTAAGGCATTGCTAGTTTACTGTGGTCAATAAAGCCAACAGTGCTGAATTTTTACCTTTGCATAGTGATGACTTTAATTGGTCTTGTAGCTTTGAATGAAGATCCCAGTGAAGTTCCAGTTTCCTGTGTCAGGCATTTTAAATTTCTGAGGATTGATGTTTACCCTTGCTTGAATATCTTGAACTTTTCTTTATTTATTACAGTTCTCTTCGTTTGTATAATTTTGTTACAAACTGACAAGCTTTGATGTGACTTTCTAAGAAGTCATTTATGTGTCTAGAGTTATCTCTGGATACACTTTCTGCAAGTTTTTTCTTATGAGGAGTTGGCTCGGAAAAGTTGCTATTGCACCATATACCTCAGCGCAGGAGTATCAAATTGAGACCACAAAACAAAATATTTGAGCATGCAGAACCAATTATTACTGTACTGATCACAGTATGTTTGTTGACTGCAAATGACTAATCATATTGATAAGTTTCACAATAATCTCAGGCACCACATTGGCAGTATGCATTACATTGTTATATTTTGTTCCATCTGATATCTCTGTATTAGCTTCATCAGTAATTTATTTTCAGTTATAATAATCTCTACAGACTGGAAGGTGTGAGATCAGAGATTTCGTTATTACTGCTACTTCTGACTTGTTTATTGTCAGAACCTATATTTGCATTAGGCATTCTGTTGTTAGCATATTTTATGAACTTTATTTTGTCAACATTTAATTCAGTTGAGTGGTTTTAAACCATTTGTTCAGGCTACCAAAGACACTGTTCATGCAATTATGAGAACAGTCAGCTTCTGGATGTGAGGTGATGTTACTATTGTCATCAATAAAAAAACACACATAGAGGTTTGTTCCCTTCGTATGTGGCCTTATTACTGCCTGAAATTTACTGTTTCCAGAAATGGACACTGTTTGTTCTGGTAGTCTACCAGACTAGATGGCATTAAATCTTGGAAGACTGGCATTTTTATACAGTATCCAGTGGGAGAGGTCTATGTGGTGGTGTAACTGAAACAAATGGTCACTTGCACATGCTAACTTATGATGACCATACAGTATTCAAATAATGACTCCGCTTAGCTTAAAGAGTGATGTCTGGATAACTTTAAAATATGGGGTTTTGAGTACGGAACATCTTTGCAGTACAAAGAGGGAGAAAGATTGAACAGTGCAGATACCTCCATTGGAACCCGGAGGCTTGATGCATTTGCCCTGTCTAGGTCAAAGAGATTAAGGGCAATGATAAGTGTGATAAGTACAAGGAAGAAAATGTAACATTACATAATGAGCCGGGATAGTGCAGTCAGTAAATCAACTGGCTGTGGGCTGGACGGCTGAAGGCTTGGGAGTTCAAGTCCTAGTGTGGGCAAGATTTACTCAACTCCACATCATCCGGACTCGTCCTTTGGCATACCCAGCCTCCTCTACAGTGGGTACCAGGGGTAAAGCAGCCTGGGAGTGAAGCTGACCACTCACCTCCAACTAATACCGAGTTCAAGAATGTGTGGATTTATACATCTCCCCCATACATGTTCACGGCATAGTGTTTAATTAGTTAAGCACAGGGACAGCTTTACATGATAAGATAGAGTATGACAGCAGAACAAGTTTTGTTGCAAAGGATTATTATGAACATAAATGGTAGATGGGTGTGTGTTGGGTATAGAAGACACACACACACGCGCAGTGAAGATAATGTTGATATGCCAGAATTGTATGTGTCTGCTATATGTATACACTACAAGAGTCGACAGTCTGGAAGTTCCTAGGCAAGATATTTTGATGAAAGTTGACTTGTACATTGCTACAGGAAGAACTTAAACTCTCAGAGCGGAGAAATTTACACAGTCAGGAAGAAACATGCCCCCTTAGTGTCAGACTACGTAACTAAGTGTATTTTTTTCTGTTGTACTGACTACAGCAAATGATGAAAATCCTGTATAGAACCAAATTCTACAGTATGCACATTAGCACAGTACACATGAATCTCACAGCATGTTAACAGTTCCAACTCCAGATTTATAGTTTATGTTAAGGAAGTACTGACTTGTAATACAGACATTTTTTAAGAATTTTGAAATTGTAATCGTATGCCAAAAGGTATCTGTAATGACCTTGAATTTTTTTTTTTTGTTTCTGGGTGCCATATGTGGTGCTTTATTTTAAAGCTTACTTCATTAGCTGTAAATGAGACCAGTTTCAGGTCTGTAAAATGGAACCAAAGTTAGGGCAAAATTTTTGATCATCCATGAGTCAAATTTTACAGTTATTTTAAATTTTGAGGTGGCAATAATTTCAAACATATTTGTAATATATATATTTAGCATTTTGCATACATTCAACTCTGATGTGTGACAGCATGTACACCACATTTCATTGACACAAGTTAGGTCGGTTGGAAATGATAGATAATTCATTGGGTTGATTTCACATGGAATGGCCCATATGACTTGCTTTCAGGAGTATGCCACATGAAATGTTGAAGGTTTTCCATTTCATCAAATTTTTCAGTTGTCATCTGGGATTAATATGGTGGAGGGGCTTTTGAAGTCATTATATAGAGCTGGCACTGGGCAGTGAGTCGGGCCACATGTCCTAAGCTCAGGGTCACTGAAACATTCTTCATGGTCACTGAACAATTTTTCTTCACCACTTTTCGCTAGCTACATGCTCATTCCTTTTTGCATAGCACCCTTCTCTGGTTCATCCAATAATGTCTTCACCTCCTATTCACCACTCACTAGAAGCTCTGTGTAAGTACTTCCAAAACCCAACAAAGACATTAATCCTAAAGATAGTAGCTGCATTGTTTGCTAACAGAATGTTTGACATTCTATGTGGGATATTTCCAAGGGCCAAAGTCATACATTAAACACCAGGTACAAAACCTGAGGACAGGTAACTTTAATATTTTATCTATACACACACTGGTAAACTGATCTATTAAATCTTTTGAATCTGTGGTATTTCCCCTGTTCATTTCGTAGTCTTGGAAGAACAGTTGTCCACTCTGGTTGACTGGTTTTGTCAAACTGTACTTTCACAAAAGGCAGATTTGTGATTATAAACACAGAAAAATTTGTCCTGTATCTGGAAGCATAATAGACTGACAAATCATGCTGTTGGATATAATAACTTTTTTAATGACTAACATATTCTGGATTTTTTTACACTTCCCCTTGGATACAAATCCTAATGTACAAAACTGCCTTACAGCTAACTCCATCAATTTTCGTAGAATTGTGAGGTTCATGTGAATGTGTTACCTGATTCCAGGTTCTTTGAAGCACCAAGGTGAAGACCATCAAAAGAAGCATCACAAGAAGAAGAAACACAGGGATAGGGATAAAGAAAGGAGAACCAAAGACCACTCTCATGAAAGAAGAAAGTCCAAGAGTAAGCTTGCTGTAAGTGGGAAAGAAATTTCCTTACATTGTAAATTTATTCATAGCACAATTATGTCCAGTCTCCATTGATGCCATGACATCAGCGCAGGAGTTTGATGAAGAATGTGAGAAAGCATGACAACTGAGTTGAACACACCCATGGAAAAATTAGTCTGTATAATTATTGAACATCACATGGAATCTCTGTAGTAACTATTTCATTCATGAATACAGAATTTTGATCATTCATTATTTCAGGATTGGCAGCCCTATTTTAGCATGGGGTGAAGACCTTGCAGCATTTGTCCACGTGGACTGCAAATGTGCTGTTACAAAGTTCAATGCATTGTTAGTAGAGGCTAAATTAACTCTGTGAAGCAGAGTCTTTCTTGAGAAGCAAATAACTGCTGAGCTAGTCAAGAAATTCCCCAACTTTTATTGAATCTGAAGCATCATTACCATGTCATAAGAGCCAACACTGAGCCCAGTTCAAACCTGATTCCTCTAGACCGCATACTCAGATATTCTCTTCAACACCATGTTCTCAAACACACTGTGTGTTACTCCCATAAGGCAAGTTTTTTTTAACCATGGGGCCCTTATTCTCTGAGGAACTGGGGTGACAAAAGTTCTCAAGAATTACATAAAATATAGTTGCATCCACACGGTTTGGTAAGTCGGTAAGGTTTCAGAAAATTTCAGAAAATATGGCTGCAGCTGATAAAATATTTCACACAGTTTGTCATGACTTTATAGAATATTTTATAAATAATTTATTTTAGGTATAAAGAGGTTATGAAGTTTGTTTTCCTACTGTTATAGTACAGCCTGATAGAACTTGCACCAGTGCAGAACTGCACTTTTTGCTGAATGACAGTGATTGAGAATAGTGGGTAAATGCAACTTTTATTTTAAGCAGGTTGCAGTATTGCAAACTTTGAGAACCCTTACCTTAGGATGAGAGACCAGATTTAATGGCCATACAAAACAAGATGTAAAATTATATTTCACTCTTTAGGTAGGAGATAGTAGACAGAAGATTTCAAACTGAATGATGACAGCATTCCCTGACTTTAATGTGCCCTTAATTTACTTGTAAATTCTAGTTTGATTAGTCAGAACTGTTTCTGAATGTTTGAAAATGAGGCTTATGTCAAAACGTGTAACGTCTAGTAATAATTTAAAAACAAATGGAAGTCACGTTTCATATACTTTCTTTGTAACAATGTAAAGCTATATACCAATGACATCAGTTATTCAGAAGGACAGAGTGGAGGTATGCAGTAAATACTTGATGCAGTTACATAGTGGAACACAGGATTCCAAATTAACACCTTTCTGAAGGATTTCAGGTCATCACAGTCTTGAATAGTTCCATCTTTTGGGATATAAAATCATAATTCTGGTGAAGATGGAGGCAACATGTTCCTCCAAAATGTCATTTGACTTTAACTAGACTACACAGTGTTACATCCCAGAAGATATCAATTCCTTCAGCTCTTTTTATTCTCTGCCCATTGCAATATTCAATCTTAACTGAAGTGGTATTAAAAACACGAAGGAATGGGTTTTTAAAGTCAATTTTAGAGAGATTTTCGTCATGGGAATGGATGAGGTTTTCATATGTAAAGACATCTTTGAACTTCAGAATCTAATGAAGTGTGTGTATCAGAAATATATAAGTCCAAACCTTTGAGTGTTCTGGATTGCCTTATAAGGATATTATATTGCCCACCAACATTATATATTGAATGAGCACCAAAACTGATATACTGTATGTTGACACATAAAAATGGTAGTAAGTAATCCTTTTCAAACATCTTTCTTGAAGGGTTTGATCAGAATCATATAAGGGTGGTTTGTTAGAATTTTCCTGACAGCAAATAAAGAGTGTCAGTTAACTACAGTGGTCTGCACAATGTTATGTCCCTGAAGACTGAATTCTTCAGTATGTATGTAGTCCATCACATATAGTTACTACAGACATTGACACATGCATCCCTCAAGCCATGAAGTGCTTGGCATCTTTCATGTAGTATTCTATAATCTGCTGGTAAATCAAGTTGTGTGCAGCAAGTTATATGTAGATAAGTCAATAAGTAAGTTACAAATGGATATAGAACTTAAACAAATAAGAGTACCGATTTGAAAAATGCTTTTATTTCTCAGCATAATCTCCCTGTACATTTAGGCACTTGTCCCATCATTTCACAAGCCCCTGAAAACTAGCAGCAATTCTTTGGGCTGCTGTCGGAATCAGGCGTGTTCACATGGCATGGCCTACCTCATAATGCATGACAGGTTACGTTTTCACAAAGTCTGTGCATGATGGGTGCCACACATGCTGACCCCAAAACAAAAAATACAAAGAATGGGTCTGGCATTACAGCATCTCAATTGCTACCATGATGAAGGACATGTGATTTTGACAAGGGATTGTGAAATGATGGGACAAGTGCCTCAGTGTACAGGAAGATTATGTTGAGAAATGAAAGCATTTTTCAAATCAGTACTCTTATTTGTTTAAGTTCTACGAGGGGGTACCCAAAAGAAACCGAACTTCTTTTTTTTTAAACTTATTTATTCAAATTTTAAGCACAAACCTTCAATCCCCTTCAAAGTACTCTCCACTTACACTAATACACTTGTCTAGTCTTTTATTCCATTTTTCAAAACATTGTCTAAATTCATCTTTTGAGATGCTTGACAGCGCCTCCGTTGTTTTTTCCTTCACCTCAGCAACATCAGCAAAACGCTTTCCTTTCATGTCTCTTTTCATTCGAGGAAACAAAAAAAA